CCGACAAACCGCTGGACCTCCTTCCGATTGCGCGGGCTCTTCCAGTCCAACACTGAGCGAACCTTGGCGCTGTCCATGGCGAGCCCCTTGTCCGACAACTTGTAGCCCAGGAAATCTACCTCCTTCATGTCGAACTGGCACTTCTCCAGCTTGGCGTACAGCCTGTGCTCCTGCAGTCTCTGCAGAACTTCCTTGACGTCTCCCTCGTGGGTCTCCTCTGATTCTGAAAATATCAGGATGTCGTCCAGGAAGCAGACGCATTTCTTGTAGAGGAGACCCGCCAATACGTGATGCATGAAGGCTTGAAAACAGTGGGAGCCATTTTGTAATCCAAAGGGCATAACTCTGTATTCATAGGTGCCCAGGGCGTGAACATGGCAGTCTTCCATTCGTCGCCCTCCCGTATGCGAATCAGGTTGTACGCCCCTCGCAGATCCAACTTTGTGAAACGCGTCCTTTCCTCACCGTTGCGAGCAGGTCATCTATCTTGGGCATGGGAAAGGCTGTGGGCTTGGTTTTCGAGTTCAAAATTCTATAGTCCACCACAAGCCTTTTTTGGGGCGTGTCCTTCTTCTTCACAAAGAATACAGGACTGCCCCCCACTGCCTTCGACTCCTGGATGAAACCGCGCTTCAAGTTGAGGTCTATGAACTCCCTGAGTTCCTGCAGCTCGTCTTCAGACATGGAATACAGTTTCCCGGTTGGCAGCGTCGCCCCTGGCAGGAGGTCAATCTTGCAGTCATAAGACCTGTGGGGAGGTAGCTTGTCCGCTTCCTTCTCGCAGAAAACCTCCAAAAACGCTGCGTACTTGAGTGGCACTGCTTGCAGCGTGCCTAATTGTAGCTGCGGGTCATCCTCTTCCCCTTCCGGGCTAGGCAGAATGCAATGTTCCGCACAGTATGAGGAGCCGAAGGTCAGTTGTCGCTGGTACCACGCCAATGCTGGGCTGTGCCTGTGCAGCCAACTCATGCCTAATACTATAGGCGTGTCCGACAGTTGGGTGACATTGAAGCTGATGACTTCTCGGTGATTCCCAATTTGCATCACCATCGGAGGCGTTTGCTGCACCACCTGCCCCCAGCAATTCCCTGCCATCCACCGTGACAACTTTCAGAGGCAGCGTGGCTGGCAGGAGTGCTATGTTGTGCTCTTGAAGGAAATCCAGTCCTATGAAGTCTGCGTTACTACCAGAGTCAATGGTAATCGGCACTTCCATAGTGAGTCCATTGGGTAGTTGGAGCGATGCTGTGAGCTGCACCACTGGTTTGGGCGGGAGGGGGTCTGTGGGCTGCAAAATCTCTGGGGACGGCTTCATTGACTTGTCTGGTTGGGCCCCAGTGCCTCTTCCTCCAACCAGACTCTGTCGTTTCCCTGCTGTGGTTCTCTCTGCTGAGTTGCTTCTGTTACTGTTGCTGAGGCTGCAGTGTGCTTGTGGAGCCTCTGGGGACACTCTTTCGCCATGTGCTGAGCACTGTCGCAGATGTAGCACTTCCTGTTCCCTCTAGGAGGCTTCGCTTTGACTGCTCCCGGTGTTAAGGCTCTGGTTGCTGACTGAGCCCTGGCGCCTCCAATCTCCATCGGTTGCTCTCCCCCTCCTTGCGGAGGTGGGGATTGCACACGCGCTGCATCCTTGGGAAGAGGGGAGGTGCTCTCACTGGCGTACGTCCCCAACGTCCTTCTTCTCTGTTCCATGGACGTTCTTCCAGACGCACCCCAATTTGCAGCGCCCGCCGGACAACCTCCTGAGTGCTCTTTGGTCTCTCCCCCCTTGCAATCTCATCTTTCACATTTGCATTCAAGCCTTCCCAAAAAAGGTCTCTGGCTGGGGCAGAATCCTTCTCCCATCCCAGCGCATGGACTAATGCAAAAAAGCGGGAATGGTACTGCCTTACACTGGCTCTGCCTTGTTTGAGCCCATGTATGTCTTTTCTGGCGATATCAATGTCTATATTTGATAAAAAACACGAATCCATCGCTTTAATGAATGCATCCGCATTTTGGAGCGCCGGATCCTTATCTCTCCACAGATTGCGCAGCCACGCTTTAGCTTCCCCATGCAAATGGGACAAGATAAACCCCACCTTCTCTTGCTCATCTCTAAAGTCTTTATCCAGCAGTTCCAGCGCAAACAGCACGTCTGCTCGGAAGTTAGGGTACTGCTGCAAATTCCCATCGAAATGAGATACCAGGCTGCCTCCTCTTTTCCCCAGCCCAATCCCCTCTGATTTGGGTCCCGGTTGCCCCTGCTTAGCAAGCACTTCCAACCTGGCTTGGAGATCCCTGCAGGCGGCAGCCGCTTCCTCTTCCCTTTTCCTGGATGCGAGTACCTCCGCGTTGAGTTGTGTCACTGCATTTTGCAGGGCTGCTAGTTGCTGTTCTGTAGTCATCTTGCCTGACTTTTGTGAGCTCGCGAAGCACCAATCTTCTTCCCTCGCTGCGTCCACTCACGTTACGAGGTTTTTGGTGCAAAACTTTTGGAGATGGAGCTTACTGTCAGAGCTGGCTCCAGGTCCCAGCTCACAGAGGACCAACGCTAGCCGGCAGTAATGTACAAAAGTCTTTATTGAAGTACAGTTTCCATTTTCAAGCCGGAGCGCCCCAGCTCTACGTCTAGGGGTTAGATCGGCGAAGCTCCATCTGAGTCTCCGCCCCCTGTACACCAGTTTAAGATTCTAGCCTTACTCCACCTCTTACGTCTCTCCTTTCTCCTCTGGGTCCTGCTACCCCCCGGGGTCCCTTCCTTCCTGGATTCTTCTGACGCTGACCCCCTGACTCCTCCCCCTCTTTTCGGCGGGCTTTGGGACCTGGCTCCCTATCCGGGCTGCCAACTGCGCCGCCCTCCTGTACATTTGAACTTGGCGCGCGCGCCCAGCCTTCAACCTTCCTCTCGACCGTTTCCTCGCTCCCCGATGGAGGCGTGGCCAATCCTGACTCATGTCCTCCCACTGGCAGTGCGCCGCCTGATCCCGATGCCTGGGACTCCTCCCCCCTACTGCACTCTGGTGTGGACGCTGGTCCTGATTTCCAACTGCTGCTCTCTGAGTCCCCTCTGGCCCCTTCTTCCTGGGGTGTCCCCCTCGGCACCCCCTTGCTCTGACCAAGGGAGCCCCTTTCTGTGAATCTTCCGATTCGCTGGAAAGACTCAGAGACCTCGGACCGCTGTCATCGCTAACATTTCCTTCGGACTCCTCCCCCTCGCTCTCTATTTCCTCCCTTTCCTGTGCCTCTGCTCCTGAACCCCTGACAACTGTGATCGCGTGTGAGGACGCATAGATGGATTGCTACCTGAATGTGGAACACTAAATAAGGAGGCCGAAGTGCAAGGGAGCTCCTCATTGTTGGGCACAGTAACGGTTATGAAATCAGGAGTACTCACTATCTGGGAAGAGGACGCAGTGACCATGGGCCTGAATTGTTGGTAAAAGGTTTCAAAGCAGAAAAAACTGCGACAAAGCCTGTGGGTTGCAGGGCACAGGAGGCTACCCTGACTCATCCTGGATACAGGACCCACTTATATTGGGGAGTTCTTGGGGAGGAACAGAAGATCGCGCCTGTTGGAGGGACTTCCGGGGTAGCGCCATCGGCAATGGCGGACCCCCTCTGAACTGGAGGGACTAGCTCCGCGCGAAACGGGTCTTTTCCGCTACGGCGAAGCGGGGACCCTTTTAAAAATCACAGGCGGATGAAGCCTGTGACCATGGGACTCAGCGGGCATCCTTAGCAGCCCCCCCAACCCGCAAAGGAACCCACTAACGGGCTCCGAAGCGAAGAGGGGGAAGTGGCGCGGTGCTGTGAGTCAACTGCTATTTCCGTGGAGCGAAGCCGCACAGCCATTGCCGGAGAGCGCTGCCTTTTTCCTGGGACAATTTGGCTTCTAAAATAAACACCCGTGAGTACTTAAACTTTGAACAATTGGACTTTAAATAAGGACTTGCGAGCAGAAAGGAATTGGACTTTAAAAATTACTTCAATTTGGTACTGAAACGGGAAGGTCTAAACAGGAAGTCAGCCTTCCGTTTCTTTGTAGACAGAATAAAGCAAAGACAACGTAAACTAGAGCTCAGAAAATCGCCTCTAAAGGATTGGCTTTCATCATTTAAAATTGTTGAACCCCCCTTCAGCAGCAGGAGAAGAAGGGGGATCTTTTTCGGACTGTTTAAACCTGCAGAAGTGAGTTTAAAGTAAAGTAACTTTCCACCGTCCTGATCCTGGAGCAGGGTGTCAGGACTGACGTTTGAAGCTCATTGACCAGAGATAAACGCTTTTGACAGATAGCTAAAAGAAGAGAAACATAGTAATCCCATTGTTTCCTTTTGCACCTTAAAGGAACAAATATTGACAAAATATCTGAAAAAAGGAAACTCTGTTGCTAGACTTGTCTTTAAAAGAAAGATCAAATAGAAGTTTTCCCCCTAGAGGGAGACTGTGAAACTGTAACCAACTCCAGGGAGCTGGCAGCTGTTACAGATTACAATCGTGGGAACAGACATCTGACCTTGCAGGACAATGTATTCAGAAGCTCTGTTGTGTGCTATATATAAAACAAATGCCCTACTGGAACAGCTACATGAGAAGACGAATTTGATGGCTGATTCGATTAGAAATTTTGAACAGGCAGTGGGAAATTTTGAACAGGCAGTGGGAAAATATGTGGAGCCCACCCAGGAATTAAATCAGAAGTGTGCCATGACAGAACAGGCCCAACAGGAATATGAGCTTTCGGATTAAACAAATTGTCAGGGGTTCAGGAGCAGAGGCAAGGGCAAGGGAGGAAACAGAGAGCGAGGGGGAGGAGGCAGAAGAAAAGATGAGTGATGACGACGACCCGAGATCTCCGAGTCTTTCCAGTGAATCAGAAGATTCACAGAAAGGAGCACCAGTGGCCAGGGCCAGGGGGGAGCCTAGGGGGACGCCCCAGGAAGATAGAGCCAGAGGGGACTCAGAGGGGAGCAGTTGGAAATCGGGACCAGCGTCACCGCCAGAGAGCAGGGAAGAGGAAGGGAGCCAGGGATCAAGCGCTGGCAGCTCACAACAGGGGGGAGGGCACGAGTCAGGAGTGGCCACACCTCCATCGGGGAGCGAAGAAACGGTCAGACGGAAGGTGGAAGGTTGGGCGCGCGCGCCAAGTTCAAATGCACAGGAAGGTGGCACAGTAGGCAGCCCGGAAGGGAGCCAGGTCCTAAAGCCCGCCGAAAGGAGGGAGAAGAGTCAGGGGTCAGCGTCAGCGTCAGAGGAATCCCGGAAAGAAGAGACCCCAGGGGGCAGAGGGACCCAGAGAAGAACAGTCAGGCGGAAAAGGTGGAGCAGGGCTAGTATATTAAGTTGGTTTACAAGGGCGGAGACTCAGACGGAGCTTCGCCGGTCTAACCATGAGACGTAGAGTTGCACGCAGCAGTTTGAGAATGGAAACTGTAACTCAATAAAGACTTTTGTTTAATGATCGCTGGCTAGCGTGATCCTCTGTGAGCTAGGATCTGGAAGCAGCTCTGACAGTAAGCTCCGTCTCCATAAATTGTGGGCATCTACAGCCTCGCGGAGAGGAGAGAAAGCGGGTGCCTACTAGCGAGCTCACGAAAGGCAGACAATATGACGGCCGAACAGCAGATAGCGGAACTCAGAGAAGCAGTGTCACGACTGAATGCCGAGGCTCTTGCATCCAGGAAGAGAGAGGAGGACGCAGCTGCCGCCTACAGGGATCTCCAGGTCAGGTTGGAAGTGCTTACGAAGCAAGGGCAACTGACACCCAAACCGGACGGGATTGGGTTGGGGAGACGAACAGGCGGTCTGGTCTCTCACTTCGATGGGAATTTGCAACAGTACCCCAACTTTAGAGCAGATGTAATGTGTGCACTGCAACTGCTGGACAAAGACTTTAGAGATGAGCAAGAGAAGGTGGGATTCATCATGTCCCATTTGCATGGAGATGCTAAAGCATGGCTGCGCAATTTGTGGAGAGATAAGGATCCGGCGCTCCAAAATGCGGATGCCTTTATTAAAGCGATGGATGGGTGCTTTTTATCAAGCATTGACGTGGATCTTGCTCGGCAGCAGATACATGGACTGAAGCAAGGGAGGGCCAGCGTAAGGCAGTACCATGCCCGCTTTTTCGCTTTGGTCAGTGCTCTGGAATGGGACAGAGATTCGGCTCCTGTAAGAGACCTGTTTTGGGAGGGATTGCACGGCTCGGTTAAAGATGAAATTGCGAGGGGAGAGACCCCGGACCACGCAGGAGATCGTTCAGAGGGCGCTGGCGGTGGGGGTGCGGCTGGAAGAACGTCCGTGGAGCAGGGACGAAGGGCGTGGAGGGCGCGAACCAGCCAGGGGCTCCTCCTTCCTTCCCAGAGAAGCAGCGCGTGCGCAATCCACGCCTCCGCCAGGAGGAGGAGCGGAACCTATGGAGGTTGGAGGTGCAAGGGCTCAGTCAGCAGCCAGAGCCCTAGCACCGGCAGCAGTGAGAGCGAAGCCTCCTAGAGGGAACAGGAAGTGTTACATCTGCGATGCTCCACAGCATATGGCGAAAGAGTGTCCCCAGAGGCTCCACAAGCACACTGCAGCTTCAGCAATGGTAACTGCAGCAACGCAGCAAGGAGAACCACAGCAGGGAAACGACGGAGTCTGGTTGGAGGAAGAGGCACTGGGGCCCAGCCAGACGTGTCAGTGAAGCAGTCCCCAGAGATTTTACAGCCCATGGACCCCCTCCCGCCCAAACCAGTAGTGAGGCTCACCGCGTCGCTCCAGCTGCCCAATGGAATCACCATGGACGTGCCAATCACCATTGACTCCGGAAGCAATGCGGACTTTATAGGGCAGGACTTTGTCGACCGGCACGCTATACAGTTGCTGCCTGCCACGCTGCCCCTGCAGGTTGTCACGGTGGATGGCAGGGAGCTGCTAGGGGGGCAAGTGGTGAAGCAGACGCCACCAATGGTGATGCGGCTTGGGAATCACAGGGAAATCATCAGCTTCAATGTCACTCAACTATCGGACACGCCCATTGTATTGGGCATGAGTTGGCTGGACAAGCACAGCCCGACGCTGGCTTGGTACCAGAGGCAGCTGACCTTCGGCTCTTCCTTTTGCGCTGAACACTGCATCGTGCCCCGGCAGGAAGGAGAGGAAGAGGAGTCACAGCTGCAGCTAGGCACGCTGCAAGCGGTTCCCCACAAGTACGCAGAATTTTTGGAGGTTTTCTGCGAGAAGGAGGCAGACAGGCTACCCCCCCACAGACCATATGACTGCAAAATTGACCTGCTGCCGGGCGGCGCTGCCCAAAGGGAAGCTGTATTCCATGTCTGAGGACGAACTGCAGGAACTCAAAGAGTTCATAGATCATAATTTGGAGCGCTGTTCAAAATGCGATAGTCCACTACAAGTCTTTTCTGGGGCAGTCCGGTATTCTTTGTTAAGAAGCGGGACACGCCCCAGAAAAGACTTGTAGTGGACTATCGCATTTTGAACAGCGTGACCAAGCCATCGGACTTCCCCATGCCCCGAATCGACGACCTCCTCGCAAAGGTACGGAAGGGCAGCGTGTTCACTAAGTTGGACCTGCGAGGGCGTACAACCTCATTCGCATGCGGGAAGGAGATGAGTGGAAGACAGCCATGTTCACGCCCCTGGGCACCTACGAATATAGAGTTATGCCTTTTGGATTGCAAAATGGTTCCCACTTTTTCAAGCGTTCATGCATCACGTGTTGGCGGGGCTCCTCTACAAGACGTGCGTCTGTTTCTTGGATGACATCCTGATCTTTTCGGAATCGCAGCAGGAGCATGACAGACACGTCAAGGAAGTGCTGAGCAGGCTACAGCAACATAGGCTTTACGCCAAGCTGGAGAAGTGCCAATTCGACGTGACGGAGGTGGATTTCCTGGGCTACAAGTTGTCTGATAAAGGGCTCGCCATGGACAGCGCCAAGGTCCGAGCAGTGTTGGATTGGAAAAGCCCACGCAACCGGAAGGAGGTCCAACGGTTTGTCGGCTTTGCGAACTTCTATCGCAAGTTTATCAAAGGCTTTGCCATGCAGACAGCGGCCATCACGGACACGCTCAGCTCCAAGAAAAGAAGTTCATCTGGACAGAGCAGGCGGAGCAGTCCTTTCCAGGCACTCAAGCGTCTCTTCGCGTCGGAAGGGCAACTGCTTCATGTCAACCCCAGCAAGCCGATGAGGGTGGAGACAGACGCTTCGGACAGAGCCGTGGGAGCAGTCCTGCTGCAGAAGGACCCGCAGGGGGTTTGGAGGCCGGGAGCGTTTTACTCAAGGAAGCTCAGCAAGTCCGAACAGAACTACACCATCTGGGACAGGGAGTTGCTGGCCATTCATGCAGCGTTCAAAGCGTGGAGGCACTTCCTGATCGGCGCCAAGCACACGGTGCAGGTCTGCACGGACCACAAGAATCTAGAGCACTGGCGCACGGCACAGTTCCTGAACCAGAGGCAGATACGTTGGGCTGAGTTCTTTGCGAATTTCGACTTCCGAATAGAGTATGTCCCGGGGGACACCAACATCATGGCGGATGCTCTCTCCCGTAAGCCGCAGTATCTGGAGGAGGCAACGCCAGCGGCCGCCATGCACATCTTCGCACCGACAGTGTGGGCGTGCACGGCGGCAACAGTTGACCTGGAGGCGGTGCGACGAGCGTTGCAGGATGACTCCTTCGCGCAAGCAAAGATGGCAGAGGCGCACAGGGGCACGGCAGCGACCGACGAGTTCCAGCTGCGAGATGGTTTGCTCATCCGTAAAGGGGCCATCTACGTGCCGGGAGACGAACTTCGCGCCAAGGTACTGCAGCAGCTGCACGACGCGCCCACTGCCGGGCACTTTGGCAAGGAGAAGACGGTGGAATTAGTAGCCAGAGACTTCTGGTGGCCAGGAATGAGGGGAAGTCGCGGACTACGTGGCGAGGTGTGACACCTGCCAGAGGGCCAAACCAGTGCACAGACCGCCGGCCGGATTGCTGGAACCGCTGCAAACTCCGTTCGAACCATGGGAGAGAGTGGCCCTGGACTTTGTCACGGATCTGCCCAGCTCGAGGGGCAAGACGGCTGTGCTGGTGGTGGTGGACTTGTTCTCCAAGATGGCACATTTCATTCCGTGTGCGAAGGTGGCCACGGCGGAACAAACCGCCAAACTGTTCATAGACCACGTGTTCAAGGTTCACGGTCTGCCGCGGTCTATTCTGTCCGACCGAGGGCGACAGTTCATCTCGAACTTCTGGCAGAGGCTGATGGGCTTCCTGAACGTCAAGATCAACCTGGCGTCGGCTAGACACCCGCAGACCAATGGGCAAGCGGAGCGGAGTCAATGCCATCATGCAGCAGTACCTGAGATGTTATGCGAATCAACAGCCTGCGACGTGGGTGGATTACCTGCCTCTCGCCGAGTTCGCCTACAACAACACGAAGCACGTGTCCACGGGGGTCACGCCGTTCTTCGCCAACAACGGGAGGCACCCCAGAACCTTCCCGGGACTGGAAAGAATGGGGGAGGGGAGCCGCAGACAGCAGATGCATTCGCGTCGGAGTTGCAGGAGGTCCACGATCAGCTGCGGCGGCACCTGGAGCTGGCTAAACACGCATACAAGGTACAAGCGGACAAACACAGAAGGGTTGGCGAAGAGATCCATGTGGGAGACTGGGTCTGGTTAGCAGCCCACGCAGTGGCGGCCCGGTCGTTGGCGAAGAAGAAACTAGGGCATAAACAACTGGGGCCCTACCAAGTCGAAGAACAGGTCAACCCGGTGGCTTTCAGGCTGGCTCTTCCGGAGGGTTCCAGGATGCATCCGGTGTTCCACAGATCGGTGCTCACTCCATACAAGGCACCTCACAGGTTTCAGGAACCAGGAACGGCACCGGGTCCGCTCCGAGAGAGAACCGGGCAGGGGGGAGTGGCACGGGAGGAGCGCATCAACGAAGCCACGGAGATTTTGGACTCCAGATGGGGGAAGAGGGGGTAGAATACCTTCTCGCCAAGGAGGGCACCCCGGCCAGTGCCAACAGCTGGGTGCCGGGCTACGCTTTAGACGAACCTCTGCTCAAAGAAGAGTTTCATGCCCTCTTCCCACATAGGCCAATGCCAGCAGACTTTTTCGACGACTGGCTTTTCACGCCCACGCTTTCAGCCAGCACGTTCCGGGGTTCGACTCGGACGAGGAACCGACACGAGACGCCCGTTCCCCGGAGGAGTCACCCTCGGGATCTGCTTCAGAACCCTCGTATTGGTGGGATGATCGACCAGAGGAGCAGTTCCGCAGAAGGTGGCTGGAGGGTCCAGGACGAGCAACGTCTCCAGAAGGTAACGAGGGAGAGACGGACATGGACGTTTTCGGGGACGACCCGGGTTTCGAGCACGGCGGCACAGAGATGGAAGCGGAGGTGACCGTCGTCAACGAGAGCAGGGAGGAAGAACCGGAAGACTTCAGATGGCGGCCCGCCACGGGAAGCGAACTGTATCCGACATTCGTCCCCTGACACGGCAGCACCCAGATCCCGCACCGGAAGGAGGGGAGGGGGGAAGAGGGGGGGTCGCGGGGGGGGTGGATGTCAGGGGTTCAGGAGCAGAGGCAAGGGCAAGGGAGGAAACAGAGAGCGAGGGGGAGGAGGCAGAAGAAAAGATGAGTGAGGACGACGACCCGAGATCTCCGAGTCTTTCCAGTGAATCAGAAGATTCACAGAAAGGAGCACCAGTGGCCAGGGCAAGGGGGGAGCCTAGGGGACGCCCCAGGAAGATAGAGCCAGAGGGGACTCAGAGGGGAGCAGTTGGAAATCGGGACCAGCGTCACCGCCAGAGAGCAGGGAAGAGGAAGGGAGCCAGGGATCAAGCGCTGGCAGCTCACAACAGGGGGGAGGGCACGAGTCAGGAGTGGCCACACCTCCATCGGGGAGCGAAGAAACGGTCAGACGGAAGGTGGAAGGTTGGACGCGCGCGCCAAGTTCAAATGCACAGGAAAGTGGCACAGTAGGCAGCCCGGAAAGGGAGCCAGGTCCTAAAGCCCGCCGAAAGGAGGGAGAAGAGTCAGGGGTCAGCGTCAGCGTCAGAGGAATCCCGGAAAGAAGAGACCCCAGGGGGCAGAGGGACCCAGAGAAGAACAGTCAGGCGGAAAAGGTGGAGCAGGGCTAGGATATTAAGTTGGTGTACAAGGGGCGGAGACTCAGACGGAGCTTCGCCGGTCTAACCATGAGACGTAGAGTTGCACGCAGCAGTTTGAGAATGGAAACTGTAACTCAATAAAGACTTTTGTTTAATGATCGCTGGCTAGCGTGATCCTCTGTGAGCTAGGATCTGGAAGCAGCTCTGACAATTACTATTGTCAGGGGTTCAGAGAGAGAGGCACAGGGTAGGCAGGAGATGGAGAGCGAAGGGGAGGAATTCCAAGCCAGCGAGGAAGAGGACGACAATGACTCAAGGGATTCCATGAGTCTTTCCAGCGAATCAGAGGATTCCCAGAAGGGGGCGCCGGTGGTCAGGGCCAGGGGAGCCCCAGGGGGGAAATGTCAGGAGCAGGGTGCCAGCGGAGGATCCCAAAGTGGCAGCTGGGCGTCAGGACCAGCCTCCCCACCAAAGTGCAGCGAAGGGGGTGGAGTTTCCAGTGTGTCAGAGGAAGGAGCTCCAGCAGCAGAGAGAGGAGGGGGGTCAGAGCAAGCAGCCCTCCCGGAAAGGGAGGGGAGCAGTGAAGGGAGCAGTGTAACTGTCAAAAGGAAAGTTAGAGGTTTGGCGCGCGCGCCTAGTTCAAATGTAGAGGCGCGCGGAAGTGCAGGGAGCCCGGAGGAGGGGCCAGGTCCCAAAGCCCGCAGGAGGGGGGAGCAGCAGTCTGATTCCGCGTCAGAGGAATCCAGAAAGGGGCAAACCCCAGGGGGCAGAAAGACCCTGCGGAAAAGGAAGGAGAGAAAGAGGTGGAGCAGCGCAAGTCTCTTAAATTGGTGCAGAGGAGGGACTGACTCAGACGGGACTTCGGCGGTCTAGCGTAAGAGACGTAAGGCTGCGCGCCTAAGATGTCAAGCAAACCATGAACTGCAATAAACACCTTTGTATTCAAGAAGACGTAGGCGTTGGTCTTTTGTGAGCTAAGACTTGAGGCAGCCTTGACAGTAAGTCCCGTCTCGGAAGCAAAAATTTTTTTTTTTTGCACAGCTCACGAAGTTTGGCAGCAATGACTACTGAGGAGCAGATAGCGTCCCTGCAAAACGCAGTCACCGAGCTCTCCACTGCCGTCGTGGTTTCTCAGAAGACAGTTGCAGAAGCAGAAGCGCGATGCCAGGATCTGCAAGCCAGGTGGGATCGGGCGTGCAGAGAGGGGTTCCCGGGGTCCAGATCAGAGGGAATCGGACTGGGACGAAGGGGGGGCAATTTAGTAGCCCACTTCGATGGGAACCTGAAGCATTATCCCAATTTCAGAGCAGACGTCGTATATGCACTGCATTTACTTCGAAAGGACTTCAAGGATGAGGAGGAAAAAGTGGGGTTCATTGTGTCCCATTTGCATGGGGAAGCACGGAATTGGTTACGCAATTTATGGCGCGAAGATGGTCTTGCACGCAGGGACTCTGATGAATTTCTCAAAGCCATGGACGCTTGCTTCCAATCTACTGTTGACGTTGATGTGGCACGTCAGGAGATGCATGGATTGCGGCAGGGCAAGGCTACAGTGCGTCAGTACCATTCTCGCTTTTTTGCATTGCTGAATGTGCTGGGCTGGGAAAAGGACTCCCTGGCAGTAAGGGACTTGTTTTGGGAAGGGCTACACGGCTCAGTGAAAGATGAGCTGGCTAGGGGGACAGACCTCAAACCCTAGCAGACGTCGTGCAGAGGGCACTCACGATAGGGGTGCGCCAAGAAGACCGCCCTTGGCACAGGGAGGAGGGGCGTCACGTCCGCCCACCAGCTAGAGCGCCTCCTTTTCCTTCTAGGGACTTGGAACGTTCACGCCTTTCGCCTGTCCTGGCAGAGGGGGAAGAACAGATGGAACTGGGTGGTGCAAAGGCTCAGACAGCTGCCGGAGCCTCAGCGTCAGGAGCAGTCAAAGCGAAGCCTCCTAGAGGGACCAGGAAGTGTTACATCTGTGACAGTGCACGGCACATGGCTAAAGAGTGTCCCCAGAGGCTCCAGAAGCACACTGCAGCCTTAGCAACAGTAACAGGGGAAGCTTTCCAAGGGGAGCAGTTTCAGGGAAACGAGAATGCCTGGTTGGAGGGAGAGACGCTGGGGCTCCACCAGGCACGTCAATGAAGCAGTCCCCAGCGCTTTTGCAGCCTACAGACCCCTTACCACCTAAGCCAGTGGTGCAGCTCACTGCTACTCTCCAGCTGCCTAATGGACTCACCCTGGAAGTCCCCATTACGATTGACTCAGGGAGCAACGCTGACTTCGTGGGGGTGCAGTTCGTCAAGCAGCATCGCATAGCGCTACTACCAGCCACGCTGCCTCTGAATGTGGTCACTGTAGATGGCAGGAAGTTGCTGGGTGGGCAAGTGGTACAACAGACGCCAGCCATGCTGCTGAAAATTGGGAATCATCGCGAGGTCATCAGTTTCAATGTCACCCAACTGTCAGACACGCCCATAGTGCTAGGCATGAGTTGGCTGGATAGACACAGTCCATCCTTGGCGTGGTACCAGCGGCAGCTCACCTTTGGCTCGTCCTACTGTGCACAACATTGCATCCAGATTGGTGAGGACGAGGAGGGCCGGGAGGAAGGGCAACAGCTGCATCTAGGCATGGTGCAGGCAGTGCCCCACAAATACAAGGGATTTTTGGAGGTCTTCTGCGAGAAGGAAGCTGACCAATTACCACCCCACAGGCCCTACGACTGTGCAATTGACCTCTTACCAGGGGCAACGCTACCGACTGCGAAGCTGTATTCCATGTCTGAAGATGAGATGCAGGAGCTCAGGGAGTTCATAGATCACAATTTGAAGCGGGGATTCATCCGAGAATCCAAGGCAGTGGGGGGCAGTCCTGTGTTTTTTGTGAAGAAGAAGGACACGCCCCAAAAACGACTCATTGTGGACTATAGGGCCATAAACTCGATGACAAAACCCAAGGCTTTCCCCATGCCCAAGATTGACGACCTGCTCGCGACGGTGAGGAAGGGGAGGATCTTCACCAAGTTGGATCTACGCGGAGCCTACAATCTCATACGCATGAGGGAAGGTGACGAGTGGAAGACGGCCATGTTCACGCCGCTGGGCACCTATGAATACAGAGTTATGCCGTTTGGTCTCCAAGGTGGCTCCCACCATTTTCAAGCATTCATGCACCACGTGCTAGCAGGACTCCTCTACAAGAAGTGCGTATGCTTTCTCGACGATATTCTGATCTTCTCGGAATCGCAGGAGACTCACGAAACAGACGTAAAGGAGGTCCTGCAGAGGCTACGGGAGCACAGACTCTACGCCAAGCTGGAGAAGTGCCAGTTCGACGTGACGGAGGTGGATTTCCTGGGCTACCGGCTGTCCGACAAGGGCCTAGCCATGGACAGCGCCAAGGTCCGCGCGGTGTTGGACTGGAATAGCCCGCGCAATCGGAAGGAGGTCCAGAGGTTCGTCGGCTTCGCCAACTTTTACCGCAAGTTCATCAGGGGTTTCGCGAAAGAGACGGCAGCTATCACGGACACCCTCAGTTCCAAGAAGAAAAAGTTCACCTGGACGGACCAGGCGGAGCAGTCCTTCAGGAGGCTTAAGAGTCTCTTCGCGTCCGAAGACCAGCTGCTACACGTGAATCCTGGCAGGCCCATGCGGGTTGAGACTGACGCATCTGACAGAGCAGTGGGGGCCGTCCTCTTGCAGGAAGATTCGCAAGGGAACTGGAGGCCCTGCGCTTTCTACTCACGGAAGCTCAGCAAGTCGGAACAGAACTACACCATCTGGGACAGGGAGTTGTTGGCCATCCACGCGGCTTTCAAGGCGTGGCGGCACTTCCTCATCGGAGCCAAGCACACCGTGCAGGTCCGCACGGACCACAAGAACCTGGAGTATTGGCGCACGGCGAAGCTCCAGAGCCAGAGGCACATGAGATGGGCGGAGTTCTTTGCGGATTTCGATTTCCGGATAGAGTATATCCCGGGAGACAACAACATCATAGCGGATGCGCTCTCCAGAAAACCGCAGTATCTTGAGGAAGCGGCACCAGTGGCAGCCAGGCACATTTTTGCACCGCAAGCGTGGGCGTGCGCTTCTGCCGCCGTGGACCTGGACGCGGTACGACGCGCGCTACAGACGGACCCGTTTGCACAATCCAAGATGGAGGAGGTGCGAAGAGGGACAGCAAAGGACGGCGAATTCCAGATACGCGACGGCCTACTGACCCGCAAAGGTGCTCTCTATGTCCCAGGGGACGATCTCCGAGCGAAGGTTCTACAGCAGTTGCACGACGCCCCCAGCGCGGGTCACTTCGGCAAGGAGAAGACGGCGGACTTAGTAGCCAGGGACTTTTGGTGGCCCCAGATGCGGGGAGAAGTCGCGGATTACGTCGCCAGGTGTGACACTTGTCAGAGGTCCAAGCCAGTGCACAAGAAGCCAGCGGGATTGCTGGAACCGCTGGAGACGCCACTGCAGCCGTGGGAAAGGGTGGCGCTGGACTTTGTCACTGATCTGCCCAGTTCGCGGGGCAAGACGGCGGTGCTTGTGGTTGTAGATCTGTTCACCAAGATGGCGCATTTCATTCCTTGCGCGAAGGTGGCAACAGCGGAGCAGACCGCCAGGCTATTCATAGACCACGTGTTCCGGGTGCACGGCTTACCACGGTCCATTTTGTCCGACCGGGGTCGCCAATTCATTTCCAGTTTCTGGCAGAAGCTCCTGGGCATCCTGAATGTCAGGATCAACTTAGCGTCGGCGAGACACCCCCAAACCAACGGCCAAGCGGAGAGGGTCAACGCCATCATGCAGCAGTACCTGCGATGTTACGCCAATCAAAAGCCTGCAACTTGGGTGGACTACTTACCGATGGCCGAGTTTGCCTACAACAACACGAAGCACGCGTCAACGGGGGTGACACCGTTCTTCGCCAACAATGGGCGACACCCCAGAACATTCCCGGCGTTGGAGACGACGACGCAGGGGGAGTCGCAGGGAGCGGAACATTTAGCAGCAGAATTGCAGGAGGTCCACGAGGAGCTACGACGGCATTTGGAACTAGCTAAACACGCCTACAAAGTGCAGGCAGACAGGCACAGGAGGGCAGGAGAAGACATCCAGGTGGGGGACTGGGTATGGTTAGCAGCCCAGGCGGTGCCGGCCAGGTCGTTAGCT